CAGAGAACAGAGCGCCCACTGGGGAAGTCCTGCAGTGAACAGCGATGGCCACCCCAGTCTTCCTGCCCTGCTCAGCCGTTGGCTGACAGCAGCCCAGAGGAGGGGACCTTTCCACGAAGACAGCCAGGGACGCTGAAGTGGGAACACATCCCTCAAGGTTGTTCTTTGAAAGGAGGTCTTCTTGGGTCACCTCAGTGGCCACGACAGTTACATTCTAATTTATGGCTTCATTTATATCACTGCTGACATGATCGTGTACTATAATCACATTTCTTTTTCCTTCCTTCCTTCCTTCCTTCCTCCTTCCTTCCTTCCTTCTTCCTTCCTTCCTCCTTCCCTCCTTCCTTCCTTCCTTCCTTCCTCCTTCCTTCCTTCCCTCCTTCCCTCCTTCCTTCCTTCCTTCCTTCCTTCCCTCCTTCCTTCCTTCTTCCTTCCTTCCTTCCCTCCTTCCTTCCTTCCTTCCCTCCTTCCTTCCTTCCCTCCTTCCTTCCTTCCCTCCTTCCTTCCTTCCTCCTTCCTTCCTTCCTTCCTTCTTCCTTCCTTCCTTCCTCCTTCCCTCCTTCCTTCCTTCCTCCTTCCTTCCTTCCTTCTTCCTTCCTTCCTTCCTTCCTTCCTCCTTCCTTCCTTCCTTCCTTCTTCCTTCCTTCCTTCCTCCTTCCCTCCCTCCTTCCTTCCTTCCTTCCTCCTTCCTTCCTTCTTCCTTCCTTCCTTCCTTCTTCCTTCCTTCCTTCCTTCCTTCCTTCCTTCCTTCCTCCTTCCTTCCTTCCTCCTTCCTTCCTTCCTTCTTCCTTCCTTCCTTCCTTCCTTCTTCCTTCCTTCCTTCCTTCTTCCTTCCTTCCTCCTTCCTTCCTTCTTCCTTCCTTCCTCCTTCCCTCCTTCCTTCCTTCCTTCCTTCCTTCCTTCTTCCCTCCTTCCCTCCTTCCTTCCTTCCTTCCTTCCTTCCCTCCTTCCTTCCTTCCTTCTTCCTTCCTTCCTTCCTTCTTCCTTCCTTCCCTCCTTCCTTCCTTCCTTCCCTCCTTCCTTCCTTCCCTCCTTCCTTCCTTCCTCCTTCCTTCCTTCCTTCCTTCCTTCCTTCCTTCCCTCCTTCCTTCCTTCCTCCTTCCTTCCTTCCTTCCTTCTTCCTTCCTTCCTCCTTCCCTCCTTCCTTCCTTCCTTCCTTCCCTCTTTCCTTCCTTCCTTCCTCCTTCCTTCCTTCCCTCCTTCCTTCCTTCCTTCCTCCTTCCTTCCTTCCCTCCTTCCTTCCTTCCTTCCTCCTTCCTTCCTTCCTTCTTCCTTCCTTCCTTCCTTCCTTCCCTCCCTCCCTCCCTTCCTCCCTTCCTTTCTTTTCTTTCCCTTTCCTGCCTTCCTACCTCTCTCCTCCCCTTCTTTTCTCTGATGGAGTGTCACCCTCGTCAGCAGGCTGGAGTGCAGTGGTATGATCTCAACTCACCGCAAGCTCTGCCTCCTGGGTTCAAGTGATTCTTCTGCCTCAGCCTTCCAAGTAACTGGGATTATAGGCATGCTCCACCACACCTGGCTAATTTTGTATTTTCAGTAGAGACAGGGTTTCTTCATGTTGGTCAGGCAGGTCTCGATTACCCAGGTGATCCGCCCACCTCGGCCTCCCATATTGTTGGGATTACAGGCATGAGCCACCACGCACGGTGACTTCTTGTTTTCTTTTTAAAGTTTGCTCGCTTCTCTATGTCCCCGTCCATTATTCTGGTCCAACCTCTGACAGGACCGTGACACTCCCCACGGGAGGATGAAGTCCTCAGGCTCATGAGTCGGTCCCGTTTCTTCCTTCTTTGAAACATGCCTTCGGGAGCCCTGTCTGACTTGGTTGAGCTTTGCTCATTCCTTTGCTCGTTCCTTTGCTCGTTCCTTTGCTCATTCCCTGTTTTAGCGGAGCACGTCCCTGGGAGCTTGCAGCACGGGGGTGTAGGCAATGTGAATGCTTTGACTCCTTCTATGTTTCCAGTCCATCTGACCCTTACCTGAGGGTTCTAGGTCGGAAATCATTTGCCCTCAGAATCTCTGTGCTGTTGTTTCCTGGATGCTAGTGTCCCTATTGAAAAGTCAATTCCGGCCAGGCGCAGTGGCTCATGCCTATAATCCCAGCATTTTGGGAGGCCAAGGCGGATGGATCACAAGGTCAGAAGTTCGAGACCAGCCTGGCTAATATGGTGAAACCCTGTCTCTATTAAAAATACAAAAATTAGCCAGGCGTGGTGGCAGGCGCCTGTAGTCCCAGATACTGGGGAGGCTGAGGCAGGAGAATCTCTTGAACCCGGAAGGCAGAGGTTGCAGTGAGCCAAGATAGTGCCACTGTACTCCAGCTTGGGTGACAGATCCAGACTTTGTCTCAAAAAAAAAGAAAAAAGAAAAGTCAATGCATGCCAGCCAGGCATGGTTGCTCACCCCGGTAATCCCGGAACTTTGGGAGGCCGAGGCAGGTGGATCACTTGAGGTGAGGAGATCCAGACCAGCCTGGCCAACATGGCAAAACCTCATCTCTGCTAAAAATACAAATAATTAGCCAGGCATGGTGGTGCATACCTGTAATTCCAGCTACTTGGGATGCTGAAGAATTGCTTGAACCCAGGAGGTAGAGGTTCAGTGAGCTGAGATCACGACACTGCACTCCAGCCTGGGTGACAGAGTGAGGTTGTCTGAAACAAAACAAAACAAAAGTCTCTCCTATTTAACCCTACTGCTCTGAAATTTCACAATGATGTGCCTTATTCTCTGTGCTGGTGCTAGGTCTTTTTCTCTTTCTCTCTCTGTCCCTTTTGTTGTTGTTGTTGTTGTGAAACAAAGTCTCACTCTGTCATGCAGGCTGGAGTGCAGTGGTGCCATCATGGCTCACCCTGGCCTCGACCACCCAGGCTCAAGTGAGTCTCCTGTCGCAGCCTCCCGCGTAGCCGGGACTATAGGCATGTGCAACCACACTCAGCTAATTTTTTCTTTCTTCTTTTTGTAGAGACGGGGGTCTCTCTGTTTCCCAGGCTGATCTCAAACTTGAGCTCACGCGATCCTAGGGATGGGTGCGGTGGCTCACCCCTGTGGGGGGCTTTACACCTCTTTATTGATCCTCTTTTGATCTATTTGTTCATCAAGGTAATAAAGGACTATCAAGGATCGAGCACCTGGTATGTGCCACATATTGTACTTTCTACTCAGTATGTCTCATTTCACCTTCACAGACTCCCTGCAAGGTGAGCGCTTTTATATCCATTTGCGGGCCAGGACTGCTGCTCTGAAGCTTTTCCCAGGACACTGAACTCTGACAGGTGAATAGCTGCCAAGTGGTGGAGGCTGGCCTGCAGTGGGCATCAGTCTGACTTCCAAGCTGGCTGCTCTTTCCAGGGCAACCACCCAGAGGCGAGTCCCAGTGCTAGGTGATGGCAGGATTGCATGTCAGGGGCTTCATAGGGGGATGTAAGTTCCATGGGGGCTGAGACCTTGGCTGGTCTGATCACCACCATCAACCAAGCACGAGAACAATCCTTGCAGTGCTGAGAATACACGATCTTTTTTTTCTTTCTTTTTTTTAATGTTGAGGGGAAAAATGTGTGTGGGGGGGCATGTCAGGGGGAATGTTGGAGGGGGAAATGTTGCAGGGGTGGGAATTTTTTTTTCAAGACAGTCTCACTGTCACCCAGGCTGGAGTGCAGTGGCACAATCTTGGCTCACTGCAGCCTCTTCCTCCCAGATTTAATCAATTCTTCTGTCTCAGCCTCCCAAGTAGCTGGGACTATAGGTGTGCACCACCACACCCAGCTAATTTTTGTATTTTTGGTAGAGACAGGGTTTCACCATGTTGGCTAAGCTGGTCTCAAACTCTGGGTGTCAAGTGATCTGCCTGCCTCAGCCTTCCAAGTGCTGGGATTACAGGCATGAGCCACTGCTCCCAACAATCAATATTTTTTAAAAGAATGAACATAATTTCATTTAATCGTCAGAGCAACTCAGTTGTAACTCTAATTAACCCTTTTGCAAAAGGTTAGAGAGCAAATCCCAGCATTCTGGGATTTTTGTTTGCCCGGGGTTTGGTTTTTCTAGGAATAGTCTTTGTGTAATCTTAGAATTACCCATGATGATAACCCATGCTACCCCTTGGCAACCAGAACCCAGTTGGATAGCTGAGTTGGCTTGGCTAAGTAACTGAACATTTATTCAACAAAATATTATTGAGTGAATGTCCACTATGTGCTAGGCACTAGGCTGGGAGATTTACTTTCATTAAATCTCATGCTATCACCACAATGGCCCTGCTGAGAAGCCAGTTGGCCTAAAACCAGTTTCTTTCTTTCTTTTTTTTAATTTTGAAATTCAGTCTCCATAGAGACTGTCAAAAATTGCCAATGCCAACTGTATTTCAAGTCGTCATGGCGGGATATTGGGAAAAGTTTTCAATTAGCAATAATCGCGCCTCAGATAAACCTCACTGGCTACGATACTGCCACCGCGCAAAGCTAAAACCAGTTTCTTAAAGATTCATTTGCTTGGCCAGGATGCAGTGGCTCACGCCTAATGAGCCTAGCACTATTAGAGGCCAAGGTGGGCGGATTGCCTGAGCCCAGGAGTTTGAGACCAGCCTGGGCCACACGTTAAAACCCTGTCTCTACTAAAATATAAAGAATTAGCTGGGCGTGGCAGCATGCACCTGTAGTCTCAGCTACTCGGGAGGCTGAGGTAGGAGAATTGCTTGAACTCGAGAGGTGGAGGTTGCAGTGAGCTGAGATTACACCACTGCTCTCCAGCCTGGGCAACTGCATGAGACTTCGTCTCTATTTTTAAAAAAAAGATTCATTTGCTCAATGAAGAGTTTGCATAAAATTCAGCTTCTAGACCTTTGAGAGTCCAGGTTTCATTTTACTGTTCTATATTTTCTTGGCATTTGAGAGCAGTTCCATGATGAAAAAAATTAGTTCCTCCAAGGGCGTTACCTAACTTTATTTAGTATTTACATTACACATTTATTGAACTTTTAGATTTTTTTTTATTGACTACTTTTTAAAAATATGGACCATTTCACAAATTTGCACATCATCCTTGCACAGGGGCCGTGCTAGCATTCTCTGTATTGTTCCAATTTTAGTATGCATGCTGCTGAAGTGAGCCCAGAATTTTTTTTCTCTAATGATAGGTTTGTTTTGTATATTTGAAAGTGCCTTTCCTTGTTCTATTTAACCTACTTTTGCCTGGTTAAGCTCTTTTTAGTCAGTTTATATAAGGCCTTTTATTCAGAATTTAAATTAAATTTAAAAGTAAATTCAATTAAAATTAAAATTAAATTTAATTCAGTATTTCTTTCCAGGACATATGAAAAGACACAAAAATGCTCCAAAGGAGATAGAATTTCCAACGAACGGGTTTTTAGGTAAGATGTTCCCCAGCTAGGCTGTAATGAGAAAACAATGGAGACCAAGATGTAGGCAGACGTTTAACAAGCCTCTCCCTTCCTTCATTCCTTTCCTTTCCCTTCTGCTCTGCACTGTCAGCCATCGAGGAGGAGGCTGGGGCTCCTGATTTCTGATTTTTACCATCCTAGGTGTCAAATGCTATTTTTCATGTCCCCCTGAGTCAGAAGGAAGGTAGTCTGGTAGGTCGCTGAGTAGATGTACTAGGGGCAGAGAAAACGTGGGCAACCTTTCAACCATTCTTACCTCCTGTTCATCCAGAAACCATGCCCTCCAACATCAGTGGGACATGTCAATGACTGAAAATGAGCGTGACTAAAATAGGCAGCAAATTGGATAACCCTGAAGCATTTGCATAGTGATTTTATTTATTGCAGAAATACTCGTAATCATTCAAACTTATAGAAAAAGGGAGAACTTAACATTACTCCTGCCTGCCCAACACACCCTTGGATCAGAATCTTAAAATTTGGTAATTATGTTAACTATTTGAACAAGTCTCTATTTTTGACATGAGAAAATAAAATCAAATTGCTGAAAGCAATTTGAGGGAGAGGGAGGAACTCAGGCTTCTGTATAAGAGTAATGGAGTTGTTTAAGAACATGAATCTGTTCAATCCAATCTAGGAAACACAAACAGAGTACACACAAACTGGATATTTTGGTCGAGCATGGTGGCTCATGCCTATAATCCCAGCACTTTTGGAGGCCAAGGTGGGTGGATAACCTGAGGTCAGGAGTTCAAGACCAGCCTGGCCAACATGATGAAATCCTGTCTCTATTAAAAATACAAAAAATTAGCCGGACGTGGTGGTACATGTCTGTAATCCCAGCTACTTGGGAGGCTGAGGCAGGAGAATCACTTGAACCTGGGAGGTGGAGGTTGCAGTGAGCTGAGATTGCACCATTGCACTCCAGCCTGGTCGACCAGAGCAAAACTCCGCCTCAAAAACGAAACAATACAAACCTGCATATTTTGTCGCTTTTAAAAGGTCAAAATAGATGGTTCTTAAAAATAAAGCACAAGTGTCTTTATTTTCATGTTTGGAAAACTACTAGAGTGTCAACATATTAATGCCTGCAAACTTTCAGAAAGAATTTTTGTAGAATTTCCTGGACGTTATCTGGAATGAGGATGATGTCCTTCTGATGCTACAGTGTTTTACGGGAGCTGAGATCATCTCACCTCTGCCCTATGTCTGTCTCCAGGGAGTTTGACCAGTGACCCTGGGTCCAGCTTTTCCTGACACTCTCAGCAGAAGCAGCTGGCTGGTCTGAGCACAGTGAACCCAATGTCCCTCCATGCCATACAATTCTACCAATCTAGCTTCTCAGGTGTTAGCATGGTATTTTGGAAAGTATATCGGTGGGGATGTCAACCAGGCTGGACTTTACTGTGCTGTTGACTGTAGCGGCCACATTGGCCACCTCACCCATGCCAGGAGCCTCTTCAGCTGTAGGTGCATTTCTGCGTGATGGTTGTCATTTTGATTAAGAGTGCAAGGCTCGGGGGCCAGACTCTCTGGGTTCAAATACTGGTTCCAATATATCCTAGTTATGGGACTATTTGTGTGTCTCCTTTCCTTGTCAGTAAAATAGGATTTTTTATGCACCTATCACACAGTGTTATTGTGAGGATTAAATGAGTTAATACGTCTAAAAAGTTAGAACAGTGCCTGGCATATGGTAAATGGCATGTACATTTTAGCAATGTATAACTATCATCATTATTATTTTTTAGAGATGGGGTCTTGCTGTGTTGCTCAGGTTTGTCTCTAACTTCTGGCTTCAAGTGATCCTCCTGCCTTGGCCTCTCAAATAGCTTTTATGACAGGTACAAACCACCGTGTCAGACTACCATGATTATTTATGTGAAGTACTTGAAACTACACAAGGCATTTCTTGAATGAAAAATGCACAGGAGTGCACTCACAGGTGTCTATCTTTAAAGGAACAATCGTTTCTTCTACAATCCTGGAAGTACAGTTTCCCAGCGGTGCACTTTCTCTTCTCTGCCTTTGCTGCTACCTGCTCTCAGCTTTCTCGCCATCCTCTGCCTTTTTCCTTGGTGTGAACTTGGTTCTCTCTCTTCCATCCCAGCTTACTTCTTCTTTCTCACACTTACAAATCGCCTGGATACTGTTCTTCCTTTCTTTTACTCTAGTAAGTTTTATTTTATTTCATTTTGGTTTTTTTTTGAGACGGAATCTCACTCTGTCACCCAGGCTGGCGTGCAACGGCACAATCTTGGCTCACTGCAACCTTTGTTTTCTGGGTTCAAACGATTCTCCTGCCTTAACCTCCGAAGTAGCTGGGACTACAGGTGTGTGAAACCACACCCAGCTAATTTTTGTATTTTTAGTAGACAAAGGGTTTCACCTATGTTGGCCAGGCTGGTCTTGAACTCCTGACCTTGTGATCCACCCAGCTTCGCCTCCCAAAGTGCTGGGATTACAAGCATGAGCCACCTCTCCCAGCTAGGTTTTATTTTATTTTAGTCACATAAGTGATCTGAGAAGTGGCTGTAAAAAGGTAGTGCCGGAGGCTGGGCGCAGTGGCTCAAGCCTGTAATCCCAGCACTTTGGGAGGCAGAGGCGGGTGGATCACGAGGTCAAGAGATCGAGACCATCCTGGTCAACATGGTGAAACCCCGTCTCTACTAAAAATACAAAAAATTAGCTGGGCATGGTGGCGCGTGCCTGTAATCCCAGCTACTCAGAAGGCTGAGGCAGGAGAATTGCCTGAACCCAGGAGGCGGAGGTTGCGGTGAGCCGAGATCGTGCCATTGCACTCCAGCCTGGGTAACAAGAGCGAAACTCTGTCTAAAAAAAAAAAAAAAAAAAAAAAAAAGGTAGCGCCGGGCGATTGACATGCTGTCTCAAACTGAAGCGGGTGAGTCACAAAAGGAGAAAGTCCAAGGCTGGACAGAAGAGACGCAAGTTCCTCTGGCTTTAGAGTTCTATGTCCTCCATTTCAGATTTATATTTCTATTTTCTTAACATGTATCTTTCACTTTGTATGGTTTAATCCCTAGGCTAGGGCTTTTTGATGGATTATTATGTAATCCTTACAACAACTCCTTAGAGGCAGGTATCACTCTCATCTTACAAAGGAAGAAAAGCCAAAATGGAAAGAGAATTAACTTATCCAAGGCCACCCAACTGGAAAGCAGAGAGCCAGAGCTGGAACCGATACATTCTAACTCTAAGCTTCAGTCTCTTCCCACTACCCATAATTCCTCCCACACATAAAAGTAGAAGTAGGCTGGGCCCAGTGGTTCACCTGAAATCCCAACATTTTGGGAGGCTGAGGTGGGAGGATTGCTTAAGTTCAGGAGTTTGAGACCGGCCTGGGCAACATGTGAAACCCTGTCTCTACAAACAATAAAAAATTAGCTGGGTGTGATGATCCATGTCTGTAGTCCCTGCTACATGGGAGGCTATGGCAGGAGGATTGCTTGAGCTCAGGAGTTCAAGGCTGCAATGAGCCATGATCGTGCCACTGCTCTCCAGCTTGGGTGACAGAGTGAGACCCCGTCCCCTAAAAGAATTGTAATGTAATGTAGTTAATGCAAATACAAAGTGGTACTTACAAGATCTTATGGAAATGTAAGAGAGGTAGGAAGGGGGAATTTCTAATATTTCCTAGGGCAGCTTTTTCAACTGGGGTCCTTGGAATTTTGGAAGGTCAGTGGAGGAACCACCTGAAGTTGTCTGCAAAATCTTCTCAGAGGGGTTTGTGGCCAAGGGAGTGGAGAGGTGGGCGTTTGACCAGGGCATCACAGAGGAGCATTAACTTTGTGAATGTCTGAGCTGATCAAGAGTTTGCCAGGAATTAGAGAAGGACTAGGCAAAAGAAACCACAAGTAGAAAAGCACATGCAAATAATTTGCTTGGACTTCAGCCTAGGGTACCATTCAAGGAAGCAGCAGGAGACACAGCACCTAGGATAAGTGGTTAAGGTCCAGACTAAGAAACAAATGATGTCCAGGGCCAAGAATGAACTCTCAAGGATATTAAAAATGCTCTTGAGAGCATTATTACAGTTCATCATAAAACGTATTCTCCAATGCCATTAAAGAATATGCTGGAAGTTGTTTCCTCCCTTTTCCAGATGCTTGTGGCAAATTCTCTGTATTTTAGAATAAATTTGCATTCAGGAGAAGAGCTGGGAGCCTAACCTTGTTTCTGGGGAATAATGTGTCCTGAATTCTAAATAATGGCTTACAAAAGTTCTGACGAGCCAGGAGTTCTGTGAATTGGCATGGTGGCACCACCCATTGGTGCCTCAATGGTAAGTCATCGAATCCCTAGCATCCAAATATGGGGCTGTAAATTAGAGGAGGGGCAGAGCAAGAGGATATTGCACTAAATGAAGATGTGGTGGGTTTGTTACTGGAAAAGAGACAAGAGAGAGATTTTGGATCTAGATTTCCCTTGAGGTAACAGTAGCTAAATTTATAATTCAGGTATCACTGTGGAAGTCTCTGCCACACTGATTTTGTTTTCTCCCCAAACTTTTGAGGTTGATCACTTAATCAGGTAGATTAACTAGGTTAGTTAAATTAAGATATATATATATATATATACAATCATCTCCCAAAAAGCAAGCTTGTCTGAACTGGAACTGTTTCCATTGATTTCAGGCTCATTCGCTTTTCTCCTTAGGACAGATATGACGTTCCTAAGCCTGATAATTCCCC